TATGGGCATGTTTTCTGAAAGAACATTGAGAACTGAACACTGAAGCCTGAGCAAGTTTTGGAGCAGCTTCCGTTCATCACTGTAGGTCTGCAGAAATCCCATTCCTCTCTCAGACTCTTTGAAGAACTCTTATTAAGCAGGGATTATATCTGCAACTAGCATTCTAGATCAGTTAATGTCTAGCGATGTGAAAGTTTATATATAGAGTTCTGAGTTGGATGGCTACTTAGGAAAAATACCATATTGCAGTTTTTAACTTTGTTTTTATCTCAGTCTACCCATAAATCTTATTTACTACTGGTATTACAATTGCTTTATTGTAACTAAAACAACCAAACAGCAAATTAAGTTTTCCATTTCACCTGTTAAACTCCTGAATTCATGAAGCTGCTGTCTCATTTCCTCCAAAGACAAACAGGCATGAAACAGTAATTCATGTACCGCAGTAACTCTGCTTTATGCTTTTCATATGCTGCCTGCAGGCACAGTGAATAGGAATAAAATTTGGAACACAACACCAACAGATCTTGTTCTTTTCTCTGTATCTATGCTTTTAGCTCCCACACTCTGATTATTTGTTACAGCTCCTACAGCTCTGGGAAATGACAGACTCACAGATACTGTGAGCACAGCAGCCCTCCTCCCTTCAGGGTCTCATTCCCAGGGCGAAGGGAAGGATGGCAGAACCAGCATGCTGTGCCATCCCCATTTCGGAGGCTGAGAGCAGTGGCCCATGGAGAATTTCATACCAAGGAAGTCACAAGCAGGTGTTATTAGGAAGTCTAATGACAACAGTGGATGAAGATACAGAATTTTCTTAACTAACATTCTGCATTCTATTAGTATATTGTATCACTGTCCTCTATATCCCTTTGTTTCTTACAGCAGAGAAGGGAAGCTTCTTCCTGTAAAAGCAAAGTGATTCTATATCCCGCATTGCTTCTTTCCCTCTTGTTAACCAGTGGGCACAAAAGAACTTTCTTCCATCTCCAAGTTCCTGTTTGCAAATAAGGAAAATGTCCTATCACCTCCCATACCAACTGGAAAGTGTATGGGCATCGGGAACTCAGAAAACAGCTAGCTTTCTGCATGTCCTCAGTACTAAACATACCATTATCTTCTCGAAATGGAAGTTTCCAAGGAAACAAGAAGAAAAGAGGATACAAGAAATGTAAATGTAAAAGAGCAAAACAAAATGAAAAGTCTGGAGGGTTTCTTTTTTTTTTCAAATTTACATATACATGTACGCTGTTACTAAGTTGCAATTATGATCCATGGGCTTATCATTTCATTCATTTATTAACAGTAATAGTTACGTGGATTGCCAAGATCAAGCCTCTATCATGCTAATTGCATATTCACAAAGGAATTTCTGTTCTAAAAAACATATTATCTAAATAGACAATATAGACAATAAGAAACGTCAGCCTCATGTTGACCAAACTGAAAACAAAAAAAGGAAAATTAAATGAATTGTAAAAGTCATAGAGGAAATCTGTAGCAGAGTCAGGAACTGAATGCGGATCTCCTCAGGACGTAGTTAATTGACATAAAGACTATGAGACAACTGCATCCACTGCAGGCTCCCTGCTTGAAAATGTCTTCCCCAGAAATCTACAGTGTACCTATAGTTTTATTGTTTATCGTGATAACATGGCGTATTTTCAGCAGAGACGTCTGGTTTTGTGCTTTCTTAAGAAAGTCACCAAGCTGTCTTGACTAATTTTGTTTTTCTGATGATCTTTTGTTAAGACTTTGAAACAGACCCCTAGGTCTAAACGTAATTTAAAACATATTGGGCTGCAAGTTCAAAACAAACAAAAAAAATGAGACCAAAAGAGTAAGGAAGGAAAACTGCATTTCCAGATAGTCTTTACTTAGTACTAGACAAGGACTGGTCATCCAGCTTTGAGCAGAAAATTGGACCAGATGATCTTCTGCAGTGCCTTCAAACCTGAATTATCCTACAGTCTTAGGAGATTCCTATTTTTGGGTGCGTTTTCACTTATGGATTAATTTACATGGAACATCTTATTACGGGCTTCCCTCAGACTAAGCGGAAAGGCAATGGCATTGTAACCTGTAAAATCACTCCCAAACCCCATTGTTGGCAATGATTTTAATCTGTTCTCTGGGATGTACGTGCTATTTTGCCTGGATGAAAGCCTAACATTAAGAAAAAAAAGACATGGACCTGGAGGAATAAAGACTCAAAGTGTAGAACTTGTAACAGAAGAATGAGAATTCTTAGTTTGTACAGACTGCTTTTCATGTGTTGCTCTCAAAGCACTTGACAATGAGAATTTTTTGACCGCTGTGCCTGCAGCCAAAAAAACCCCACAACCAAACAGGTTTATTAATATGAAGGCTTTCTTCAAACACAGCATTTTGATGCAGTTTCCACTGCATTAAAAAAAACTGTTTAAGCTATTATTAGCAGCAGAACATATATTACTGCAATTGTATATACCTTGCCATTAATAGATCAATAAACTGCTTCGATTCTGATTTGTTTAAATATGTTAACTGAGCAATTTCTCCCTGAGAAGGACCCGTGTTGTAAAGTGATGTGATCCCCAAGAGGCAAAAAGGCAAAAGAGTTGCTGCACTGTCTTCTCTGTTTTCTCGATTCTCTTGGATGCAATTTTAAAAAAAAAGGATTAGTCTATTCTAAGTGGTTACTTAAACATCTGAAGGGTGTAAAGAAAAGTTCTGACCTGGAAAAGCACCTGTGGTTAAGGCCACAAATGCTATCCCGATCCCATGAATTCTATAAAGGCTTTACCCTTGCCTTCAATACAACCAGGATTCTACTTCCTGAGGAAGATAAAAATGTCGATTTTATTTCTTTGTGTGGGCAATGATTTGTATAGAAAGCTCTGTGATGGAAGAAGCCACATGAGTACTTGGAGCTGTGCTGTGAGATAGATAGGGTGTTATAATATATTTAGCAAATAAGGCAATCCTCCAAAAAAAAGAAAAAGAGAAAGGTATGAAAAATTAGTTCCTTAGCTTAGAAGCCATAGACTGAAGCCAAGAACACACAGCTTAGAAAGAAAATGTATTGGCCTCTTCCCCACCAACACACAAATCACTGCTGTGCTATGTGTACAAACCATTACAGGTGTTATGCAAACACTGCAGTGTGACTTTTTGTTACTGACTAGGTTAAAATGATCTGCGTTCATTGCTTCTTTCTCTCACTTAAAGGAAAAAAACCCAACCTCATAGAATATCTCTGGAAACTCACTTTCCAGACCAAAAAAACTGGCTTATAAACAGTTTCTAAGAGAATTTATCTTTCCATATAAAAGATGAAAACATGAAGAAAGAGGTATCTGCAAAATATACCCATATATTTCTAAGAATCTGCAAATAATGCAAATGCAAATTTGCATTTTCTAAGAAAATGCAAATATCTGGAATTGATTATTGCTTAAAGAAACTTTTAGTAAGTTATTATTTTGTGTGCTGCTTAATTGTTCTTTTAAATCTAGAAACTAGGGCAAACATCTGCAATTACAGTATATATTTCTTTTATTATAATATAAATAGATACTAACAAGTACAATTTGGTCCTGAAGTAATAGTATTACATATTTAAAGAAGGAGAATCTAACACTGTACTCTGTGTAAACTATGAGCTTTCTATGCACATTATCTCCAGCTCCATCCCTAAGTAAATTTGCTTTCTAAATACTTGCCCGAAGATATATCCATATACTTGTATCCATCAGCAGAATCTAATCACAATACTTCTAGTTATGAACATGATTCAGGATCCTATACATTAAGGCTCAGGAAAGAAGAAATAATTTTCCACTTTGCAGAGTCCCTGTGCTATGCTAAATTAAGCAAAATAATAGCAACAGAGACAAACCATGCATTAGAAATAGTTCAAAAACAGCAGGGAGGAGGGAGAGGAATAACAAGCATTACAGTATCTATTAACTAACAGAATGCTTATGGAGATAGGGATAAGATGCACATGCATGCCAAATGAATCCTTATCTATAGCACCATAAGAAAATACACCAAAATAAATTCATGAGGGGAAGCAGCTTAACGTATAACACTGTAAGCATTCAGCCATTAGTTTCATCTGAAATGCATTTTAATTGCTCCTATCACAATGAACTCATTTCACAATCACGAAAATGTGTTGTGTGTTTCCACTTATAACCCAGTCTTTGTTAAGTACCATTAAAGATTTATTTAACGTCAAATGCTATCATACACAATTAGAGCATAGATAAAGTACTAGGTGCATATTAAAAGAGTTTCTAAAACTGAATTTCTTCTTTATGTGCTGTTTTACTGGTTCTGGAAAAACTAATACTTTTGTCTTCATCAATTACAGGTAAGACTTGTTGAGGAGGCACATACAGCAAGCAGTACTAGGACTGTTCTCTTCCAGTAAAGCTACACAGCAAAAGGAGAAACTTAGAATGAATCTACTTGTAGGTAATAGCATATTATATTTCTCACACAACCACATTACAGACCATGCCAATCTCTACAACGTGTAAAGCATCTGATTACCCACAAATACTCTGTGTTTAAGAAACTGTTTCAGAGATATTAGTGGGAAAATTCCAACTCTCATTCAGCCAGTGCCCTTGCTGAATGTAGCATATGAAAACTGACAGCCAGAAAAACAGGATAAAGTTCAAAGCAATTTTTCAGTGCCTCTATTGATTAAACTTTCAAAGTTACGCTGTTTACCAAAAGCTTCCAGCTTTAAGGAGCAACAGATCTGAGAGAAGAACACACACATTTGTGGTGAAACAAAATTCATGTTAGTAGTAAGCGAACAGGCAAAATTTCCTAAGAAAACAATTTATTCTGTGTTTTCAATTGTTTACCTCTTTGTGAACTTTAATGAAAGAGAACAAAGAAGTACGCTCACTGAACGGACCGGTCTAACAGCAATACTTGTTGAATTGTTCAGATAAAGTTCTTTAACACTGTATTTAATTGATATCCCATTCTCAGCCTACCTGGTGTATTCAGCAGCCGCGACATCTTGCAAGAATAGGAGATAAACTGCTCACAGTATTCAGCACTACTGGTAATGGCAGAAATCTGGTCCATCGTTGCACTGTAATTGAGCTGTAGTACAGACAACTTCTCCAGGCTGTTGCCTCCCACAGAAGTCTGCATTTGCAGATCATGGTACACAGTTGTCCATACTTTATCCTCTGAAACAGAAGGTAAAAAGACAAGACAAGAATTGGTAAAAGACAGACGGTGGAACTGGATTAAAACAAATCTAGGCCTTTTGCAAAAGATAAAAATGTTCTGCAAGATATTTTTTGAGGGGGTATTGGTGAAGAAGGGCATTGCATGTGAAAAGACATCATGTGAGAGCATAGTTCTATGAACTGACAAAAGGCAGAAACCCTGATTGCCTTTGAAGTTTTGATAACCAATATACCGTGTGAGGAGACTTCCTGGAACAACTGACGCTAACAGTGACATACGGAACTAATAAGGATTAGCTTTGATCCGAAATTGATTAGAAGGACACAAGGCTGATGCACTAAAGATTCAAGGTTTATATGTGAGGAAAATTCACTGTGCATGGTAGGTTGCTGTGGGCTGGAGAGCAACACTGCTTTGCAGTACTGTAACAACAGGGATGCACCACATTCCTATGTGATTACCTCATTTAGTGATTAATACTGAAAACACTATAGTTTATCAAGTTTTCCACATTTTTACCCAAGCTGGGTTCCTAGGGTAAACCAAAATTACTGCTTATTGAGACTTGAATACTTTACAATAGCAGCACCATATGACCTCACTGATTGTGGTTATGGTACTCAAATCAACATAAGAAATAATAGAAGTAGGAGACAATGGAAATACAAAAGCTTCTGTTTAGTTGTGAAAAGACAAAAGGAAGGGGGAAGGACAACCTCATTTGGGTGATAAGAAATATAGCAGCATTGGCTGAATCTCAACACTTCCCACAGCCTACTGCACATGCAAGAAGTGTGTAATATCCAGCCTACAACAGACTCTGTATGCATTACACTGCTTTAAACTACTGAACCGCAAGTCACTAGAAGTGTCACTGTGTGCCATTTGTCAGTAGTTACCAGAGGAGATTTAAGATGAGATATTGTAATAAGGAAACACCACACTCCACACTCCTCTTGTTGGAAGATCTGTGGAAGTTGGAAGGTAGTTTAGAAAGGAAATAAAGAAAAGGCTCAGAAATTTTCCTGTTGTAGACCAACCATTACTTTTTCTTAGAGGGACGTTCCACAGAACCAAAATGAAAAAAATATTAACTGAGAAAGACATAGGGTTTCAGAATTAAAACAATGAAGATTCAGTCAATATTAGTGATACTGTCTTCCTGTAAGAAGTATTCTATCACTTAGGTGCGAAGAACTTTTAAATTCAAGTTGACTAGCTATCATTGTAAAAAACCACTATCTCAGCTGATACTTACTACTCATAGTGTCCATCTCAAATAGCCAAGGACTGCAATAGGTCAATCTTTCTCTTTATTACTATGAAAGAGACAGTGAATAAACCCCAGAAAATTCTCTTTTTTCTATAGATTATCCTTTAGCATATTACCACAAAGCTTCCTAGAAGTTCAGGTTTTGTCACTAATATTTATCATGTATAGTTCTTTGACATTTTAAGTTTTTTTTCTGTTTTTCTTTTAAATTTTCTTTCTGCTTTTTTATATACTTCTACTACTGAGGGCCAAGTCAAAGAAAAGTGTCTTGGACTTGGAATAGGAAATGCGGAACTTCAAAAAAAAATCTGTAAGAATCTATTCTGGTGCCTTGAATTGGCTTGCACAAAAGCCCTGGGTTCTGGATGAGGCAGCCAGGCCTTTGCCCCAGACGGTTCAGCTGTTCCTGCAGAGCACCACCACTGACCACAGTCGTCCATCCAGAGATGCAGAGATGAAAACATGCCATGTTGCTAACTTTGCTGTATTTATCACAACAAGATTCTCCAGGAAGATCATGTGGCAGTTTCAGAGAATACTAATTCACCCAACAGATGTGCCTTACAGCAATAAAAATCATAAAATGTAGTACATAGCAGTATGTTTTCAATTCATCTATGTAAATCTCATACCTGTTAATGCAAATTTCTGAGTCATTTCAAAACTTGTGGCCCAATACTGCGCTTCAATATTTTAACTACATGAAAATACTTTGATAAACTGAGGCATACTCAAAAGTGCTTCAGTACTTCTTCACTAAGTTCACAGAAATGTGCTTACATACCCTGATGAGTTTTGGGAGCGACCCAGAGTAAAGTTGTATTTCCATGTTATGACTATTCTTATCTCCAGGACTCTATACTCTGCCTTATTTTCAAGTCTTAATTTTCACTGCATAGTGTCAGGCTATTTTGGATTACACGGAGTCATGTGGACCCATGTGTTGTGTAACTGATACGGTGCAAGATTTTCTAATCAAATGTTCAGAGATAAGGTAAGCAAAGCAGACGGATCCTCCACAGGGAGTACGCATCACTAGCCAAATGAGATGAAATTCAGCAGGTGATGCAAGATGGTTATGATTTTAATATTCATATCCTTAGTCCAAAGCTCTACATCAAACACAATACTATTCTTGCACCAAGAAAAAAAAAAAAAGGCAGGGGAAAGGAAGAAGAGGAATTCTTATTTCTGTATTACTTTAATCTCACTCCCAAGTACCAAGGAAAAATTTGTAATTGTCATCTGTCAAGTAATATAGAGAATACAACACAGTTTTGTTGAAATCCTGGGATGGAAGTTTACTGAAGATTCATTTTCAAGGAAGGACTGAGATCGTTTATATGTTCACTGACAACAATGTCTCACTTTTGGCAGAAAACACTGTATATGTAAGAGCTCTAATGTAAGGCATATACTAGGCCAGTTAGAGCCTCATCTTGGATTTCTGAGCCAGTAAAGGCTTGTAGACTAGCCATTAGGAAACCATCGGAATGTTATTAGCAATAGGAGCTGCATTAAGCACTATGTCTGAAGGGCGTTCCTTTTGGATACTGGATTCTAGCCAATGCAGCCCTGATACTTCCCCTCCCAGTGAGGGAGTTTCAGGCTTTACTGTGGCACACTGTATGAAAGAAGACAGAAACCTATTCGTGGACGGATCTACATTGCCTTTATGTCAGTCAAATGTATCACAGAAACACAGATTCATAGCATCATTTAGGTTGGAAAAGACCTTTAATATCATCGAGTTCAACCATTAACCTAGCACTGCCAAGTCCACCACTAAACTATGTCCTTGAGCACCACGGCTACCCTTCTTTTAAATACCTCCAGGGAAGGAGACTCAACCACTTCCCTGGGCAGCCTGTTCCAGTGCTTGACAACCCTTTTGGTAAAGGAATTTTTCCCAATATCCAACCTAAACCTCCCCTGATGCAACTTGAGGCCATTTTCTTTTGTCCTATCGCTTGTTACCTGGGAGAAGAGACCAACCCCCACCTCGCTACACCCTCCTTTCAGGTAGTTGCAGAGACCAATAAGGTCTCCCCTCAGCCTCCTTTTCTCCATGCTAAACAACCCCAGCTCCCTCAGTTGCTCATATTCAGCCAGCTGTCGACCAACACCACCAGGTCCTTTTCTGCCAGGCAGCTCTCCAGCCACTCTTCCCCCGGCCTGTAGTGTTTTGTCCTCTGAACCACTTCAGGATCTTTCTGTTGAAGTACAAGTAGTACTAATAGATAAAAGTTTGTTGCACCTTGTAATGTATCTATTTAAAAATATGCATATATGTGCATAAAGTCAATAACCATTTCTAGAAAAGCATCTCAATCCCTTCCTGCTGTCTAAAAGATGATGGGAGACTGATTAGGGTATACCTGCCCAGTTACTGGAAGGAAATCTAGCTCCCATTTCACCTGCAACTACCTTGTTGATAGACTGGCTCACATGACTGAAGAGCACTTGATCATAGTAAGGAAAAATTTACTGGCTTACTGGTGCACAGGGCACTCCCGCCAGCAAGCCTGAAATCAGTAATGTCAGACTCACTATGCACATAGGATCGAAGCAAGGGACACACAAAGGCTGACAATTCTTTGACATTCAGCAAGCTGGCTTGTCCAAAATCTGGAAGGTGAAAGATCTGTGCCCGCAGGTCAGGCACAGAGAGAGTGTGGAGGAAAAGTTGTGGCTGGTGTACAGGAAGGAAGCTCCTTGTCTGGGTGGGGTATTTTACACTCTTCACACATTTTTCTGATTTAACTAAAAAGCCCCGCCATGAGGCATGGACTAAGACAGTCTGGAATGACAGGATCTTCCCTCAGCTGGAAAAACCCATTGACAGTGTAACATGGACACAGCCAAAAATCTGTCTCCCCTCCCCACCAAGAGCAGACTCCTGCATCTCATACAGTTATATTACTGAGGCTGGCCTTAAGATGTCTGGAAAGGCTTAAAGGAGAAAGTTGCCAGGCAGGAATCTAAACCTTATATATTGTGTGCTGATTACAAACTGCTTTTTCCCTTTCAGTCTTAACTATTTGTTAATGTGATAATACTTCCCAAGGAAATCAGCTAGACATTTATAGCTTGAAAATAATGCCAACTTCTTCATTTATGGTTCCAGTATCTCAGAAACTGCTTGTTAGTTGAGACCATTCTTCAGAAAGATTGAATCAGTAACCTGCTTGCAGCCAACTTCCCTTACAGAAAAGGTAACGCAGATAATTCATACTATCTCAAATACCCGTATCATCACCATTTATGGAATTATTCCCATGTAGCTGAGAACAGAATGTGGTAGTCATAGTTAATATATCAAAATCTGCAAGAAAGGCTGTCACATTTTCTGTCAATAGTACACAGAAATCTCATTTAAGGTACACGGAAGTGAAAAATCTGTTAACTGTAATTTGATATATCTCCTGGCAATTACAGTCACCACAATATTGGTATGAGTATTCCCCTAATACACTGGCAATTATTTTAAGAAAGCATAACATATGGCTATTTCTAACCACAAGTGTTTAGAGACAATTTGTCGGTCAGAGCTGTGCGTATGACTTTCGTACAGTGAAACACACGTATAAAGACCAGACATCACTTAACAATTATAATGCTGTTAAGTAGCATCATCTATAAAGTATTTTATGTGCTTCTGTTATTCAAATATTCTATGTGACCTCTGTTATTGAAATTAAAAACTATATTAAAATGAATTAA